ATGTTCTCCCCTGTAAACGATCACATAATTTACAATAAAACATAAAAAAAAGGAAAAAATTTTTACTGAACATTCAAAAATGACTGCAACAGAATATTGACAGGAAACAGTCAGAAACTCACGGGGATTCAGAAGAGGATGTGGATTAGGGATACAATTGTTGTCCTCAGATAGCTCTTGGCTGAAAGCAGAGAATACCAGAAAGCTATATATATAGTGCTTTATTGACTCCACAAAGACTTTCAACAGTGTGGATCATGAGAATCTATGGATAACACTGAGAAGAATGGGTATTCCAGAACACTTAATTGTGCTCTCGAGGATCCTGTACTTAGACTAAAAGGCTGTTATTCGAAAAGAACAAGAGGCTAGTGAATGCTCTAAAATCAAGAAAGGTGTGTGCCAGGGGTATATTTTTTTTACCATACTTAGTTCATCTGTATTCTGAGTAAATAATCTGAGAAGCTGGATTATCTGAAGAACATGGCATCAGGGTTGGTGGAAGAATCATTAACAACCTGCAATATGCAGCTAATACATTGCTTCTTTAAAGCAAAGAGGCCTTAAAATACTTACTGATGAATACTGAAGACCACAGCCTTCAGTCTCAGTTGCAACACAATGTAAAAAAAAAAAAAAAATTCTTCACCACTAAATCAATAAATAACATCATGATAAATGGACAAAAGATTGAAGTTTTTCAAGAATTCATTTTGCTTGAATTTACCATCAACCCTAATGGAAGGAGAAGTCGAGAAATCAAGTAACGTATTGCATTAGGCAACGCCGCTACACAAGAGCTCTTTATCTTTGTTCAAGAGCAAAGACAAAAGTTTGAGAACTAAGGTGCACCTGAACCAAGTCATGGTATTTTCAGCAGCCTTACATGCATGTAAAAGTTGGGCCATGAATAAGGAACACCATAGTAGAATTTACGCATTTGTGTTATGGAGTTGTTGAAGACTAGCTAGAGCACCATGGACTGCCAGAAGATCTAACAAATCTGTGTTGGGGGAAGTAAGACAGAATGCTCCTTAGAAGTCAGGATGGCTAGACAACGAATCTCAAATTTGGACAAATTAACAGTAGCAACAACAATGAGCTTAAATGTAGCAACAACTGTGAGGATAGTCCGGGACCGGCAGTGTGTTGTTCTGTTGTTCATATTCAATGGCACCTAACAATAACAACTGAGCCAGTATCTTGAATTTGAACTTCTAGTCTCATAAACTATGAGAAAACAAATAAATGTTTGTTCAAATTAAAAAAAAATAAAAAATTTTGTTAAAGATAATTTAAAAACGGCTTCAGCAGTACCTTGACAGGGACTTGCCAGAGGTTAAGGCTGGATTTAGATGGGGACATGGAACAAGGTTTAGCATTGCTGATGTCAGATGGATCTTGGCTGAAAGCAGAGAATACCAGAAAGACGTTTACCTGTGCATTATTGTCCACACAAAGGCTTTCACTTGTGTGGATCATGACAAGCTCTGGACAAGCTATATGGACAATGGAAACATTGAAGTTACCAAAGAGAATGAGGATACCAGAACACTTAATTGTGCTCATGAGGATCCTGCACATAGACCAAGTGGCAGTTGTTTGATCAGAACAATGGGATACTGAATGGTTTAAAATTAAGAAAGGTGTGCAACAAACAGGGTTGTATTCTTTCACCATACTTATTCAATCTGTATGCTGAACAAATAATCCAAGAAACTGGGTTATATGAAGAAGAACGTGGCATCAGGATTAGAGGGTGACTCATTAACAACCTGTGATATGCAGATGATATGACCTTGCTTGCTGAAAAGAAAAAGGACTTAAAACACTTATTGGTGATGATCAAAGAGCACAACCTTTGGTATGGGTTACACCTCAATGTAAATAAAACATAAATCCACACAACTGGATCAATAAATAACATTAAGATAAATGAAGGATCCCCATTGAATAGTTTTCATCTTGTCTAGAGGGGTCTGGTTAAAAGAGATGGGGATAAGATTCTTATGATATAATAGTGAGTAACTGTTATCATGACTAACTGCGACTGTCACAACTGTAAAGGTAGAAGTTTTGTAACAAAAACGGTGGAGTAGTTAATCTTACTGTCCAGAAACAGAGGACCCTAGGATCATCAAGGGAGAAGAGCATGAGCGGAATGCAAGACCTTATCCAGAGAAGCAGTGACACCAGAGATGGAGGCAGAGATGGGGACATGGAGAGAGGGAGCAGCTGAGGACTCTAGATTCATGGAAAGAGAGAGACTGAGAGCTGGCAGCCAGGAGGCAGACTTGCAGAATGTGCCCTTTGGTGGTGTAAATTATTATATATGTGTCGTGTTTAAAAAAAATTTTTTTTTAATTTAAAAACAAAGATAAATGAAGGAAACATTGAAGTTACCAAAGTCTTCATTTTGCTCAGATCAACCATCAATACTCATGAAAACAGCAGTCAAGAAATCAAACAATATGTTGCATTAGGCAAATCTGCTGCACAAGACCTCTCTCAAGAGCTCAGGAGCAAAGATGTCAGTTTGAGGACTAAGGGGAGCATGACCCAAGCCATGTTATTTTCAATAACCTCATATGCATATGAAAGTTGGACAGTGAATAAGGAAGACCACAGAAGAATTAATGCATTTTTGTTATGGTGTTGGAGAAGAATATTGAAAGTACCATGGACTGCCAGAAGAACAAACCGATCTGTGTTGGAAGAAGTACAATCAGAATGCTCCTTAGAAACCAGGATGGCCAGGCTTTGTCTCTCATACTTTGGACATATAGGAGGCTCAGTCCCTGGAGAAAGACATCAGGCTTGGTAAAGTTGAAAGTCAGCAAAAAAGAGGGAGATCTCCAACAAGATGGATTGGCACAGTGGCCGCAGCAATAGGCTCAAGCGTAGCAACCACTGTGAGGTTGGTGCAGGACTGGGCAGTGTTTCATTCTGTTGTGCATAGGGCCACTTTAAACCAGTTCCAACTCTAGGGCACTTAACAACAAACCAACGGATTGAATACAAATGCTCATATATACACAAGTCAAAAAATTTCCCTCATACTAAGAAAATCCGTCACTTTAGCATTGTACAAGCATGTAACTAGCACCATATGACAATTTGTCATATAAAAACTCAACCATAATGGTACCATTCACATTGTAAAGGGAACTTCTCACTGGTTCATCACCTCTAGTTTTATTTAACTACAAAATCACAGTCCTCTCTGATATTTTCATATTGTCCCACAGCACCACCAGAGTTCCTAGGTACAGTACACTGTTGTTAAGTACAGCTGAGCTGGTTCTGACTAAGAGTGACCATGTACAGGTTTCCAAGGAGCAGCTACTGGATTTGAACCAACAGCTGTGTGATGAACAGTCCAGTGCTTATCCTACAGTGCCACACCAGGACTCTAACATGCAGTCTGATCTCGTTTTGGGAATAGGTGAAACATAATCTAGATGTATATCCCAATATTTTTTTTTAAAAGGAAGAAAAATACAAATCCAAGTCTCCTCCAGTGGTAGACGAAAAATTAAAATTCAGGTCAATAAAGGAATGGAACCCCATCCAGAATCTTCTGAGGTGGGAAATTTCCACTTGAAAGGACAAGCAGACCAGCCTGGAGCCACTAGAAGAATAGAGGATAGTTCTTGAAAGAAAGACTAGCAGGAAAAATTAAAAAAACAGTAACAGCAGTCTAATTGACTACTACAAAAAGAAGCAAGCTGTTCACCCGGGAGCAATCAAGGCAAGCAGTCAGGTCCCCTCAGGGAAAACCTACTTCCAAGACTGAGACTCAAGGGTAATACACAAGCAGGCATGTGGTCTTGCTGGTGACCATGTTGGTCACCAGTAAGGGGAAGTGGGGGAAAAACAGCAGTGAAGATGTGAGCTAAGTTCAACCACGTTCAATTGACTCCTGTGAACCTGGGTTGAGACCTGGTTGGCCAGCAGTATGGCAAAACCTGGGGACTCCTGGGCTCAGAGACAGGGGCAAGGCCACAGAGCAGTAGAGTGGAGAATGAAGCATCCAGCTCATATGAAGTGAGGGATGATGCACAAGAACACCAATACTTGCAGATAGTACCCACTTGACCTGGCTTAAATAGCTGGATGATCAGAACTCAACTAGAAGAAGAAAGAAGAGGAAAAAAAATAGTAATCCACTACAATTTGATGAACTTGACCTACACCTATGGGTGTAGTACCTCAAAGAGGGAACAAATCTTCACAGCAAAGATCATTCCCACCCCCTCAATACACAGGATACACTGGGATGGGCAACATGGACATTGGCTACCCAATATGGGGGGTGGTGGCTACAAAGGCCAGAAGTGACTGGTTTACAAGCTTTCAAGAAGGAGCCTATTTCTAGAGGGTTCTGGGAAGGTAGACTCTCCACTGAGTGATTTGCAATCTGTCTGGACAGGCCTGATGAAAGGAGATGGGGATAAGACTTTTGTGGTTCAATAGTGAATAATTGTTATCAGGACTGACTGTGAGGGTTGGAAATGTAAAGGTAGTCATTTTGTAACAAAAGGAGGGGAGGGGTTGATCTTGCAGTCCAGTAGCAGAGGACCCTGGGACCATAGGGGGAGAAAAGTGAAGTGCGGGACCCTATCCAGAAAAGCAATGACACCAGAGATGGAGGCAGAGATGATGACGTGGAGAGATGGAGTGGCTGGGACTCCAAACTCAGGGAGGGAGGGGGTCTGTGTGCTGACGGCCGGGTAGCAGGCTTGCGGGGTGTCCCCTTTGGTTTTTTGATGATACATGGAGGGAATTGTAATCATTGCAATTAAACGAAATCTGATAGTTTACATGGGAGAACATCAGCTTTACATTCATCCTATCACATAATTCACAATAAAACCTTTAAAAAAAAGAGTAATCAAAATAACTAATGAAAGGAATGGAATCCTGAGAATCCCTGAAGGGGAAGTGCAGATGTAACTGTGTGGTCAATGACAGGAAGAGACTGGCTTGCAATTTTCAATCTACACCAAGGACAAAGCAGGTGTCAGGCACTGTAGCAGGCCCTGGATGGCAATAGTTCCTTGCTTAGTGAAAATGAGCAGCTAAGCAAACAGGGGGGTTCTATTCTTATGCAGATGCACAAACACAGATTCACACACAAGTCTAAATCACACAGCATTCTTCTCCAAATCAAGGTTTCCAAAAAGAAAATGAAATTGATATTTAGCATTCAAATATTCTTACATCTTCTATGCACATTAATCACATGACAGCATCTTCTAGAGCGTGTTTCCTTGCACATGAGTAACATGACTATCTACTACTCAGTACAACTGATCTGAAATTGATGCTTATTTCTTTTCACATTGTCTCCTAATTAAGAAAGTTACTTTAAATTTTATGGACCCCCTTCGACATCAAATTCCTTCCATAATAATTTCCAAACTCTGTTTTTACTCACTTCCTTCCTTTGATTTTAACTTCTATGTTCATACTAGTGCAACATATAACTAACTGTATGTGCTCTGGATATTTCCATGTTTGCTCTATCTCTGTTTCTGTTATGTCAATTATGCAAAGGCACTTAGTGACAAGCACTTTCATTAGTAGCAGAAAATACACAAGATGCCCTTATCCTGGCACTCCGTGAAAACTGGTATGGCTTCTTAGATGGGAAGTCTCACCAAAATACAGTCTAGCCAATCAAGAACACGATGCAAGACTTGTGTGGAGTGGAGGTGCCCCCCACCCACCCAGTAAGACCATACCTGGGGAGCAGAGGGGTTGAAGGCCACCTGAATAACTGTGTCTGTGTGTCCTCCCAGCCTGCGTGAGAAAGTACTGGAACCCATTTCATATACATAGGCCTAAAAAAAAAAAAATTGTTTAAGAGCATTTATCTTAGCAGAGACAAAATTAACTAAATTGAGCCAACTAGGATTATATTCTGGAGTCCTGGTGTGGCACTGTGGGTTAATGCGCCAGACTGCAAAGCCGTTTGAACTGTAAGGTCGGCAGTTCAAGTTCACCGGTCACTCCTCAGAAACCCTAAAGTGGGCTGCTATGAGTCACAACCGACTCGACAGCACACAACAACAACAGGATTGCCAAGTAAGAATCATAGCAACAATTGTCACAACTGACAAAATGTGAACAAAGTTGCAGAACTGAATGTATGAAATACGGATCATCTCTTTTCCCTTTTACATTTGTAAGCTGTTGATGAATTAACACCATGCCTGGCATTCCGTTAGAGTAGAGAGCCCTGGATAGGATAAGCACTGGACTGCAAGGTTGGTCTGAACTACAAGGTCGGCAGCGCAAACTCACCGGCTGCTTCTCAGAAACCCTATATAGGATGGTTATGAGTCAGAACTGACTCAACCGCACTTAACAACAACAACAATTTCCTGTCATAAGTCTTCTCCATACCTATGAGCAGTTTCAAATACATGTTCACACCTGACGACCAATTATAAGGAAGGTGTACAGATTTGAAGGCGCCTTGGTGACACAGTAGGTTAAGCACTAGGCCAAGGTCAGAGGCTGAAACACACAAGCAGTTTCCTGGGAGAAAGAAGAGGTTGTCTACTCCCGTAAAAATGTATAGCCCCCGAAACCCCATGGGGCAGCTCTGCTATGTGAGGGGGACTGTGAATCTGCACCGGTGTGATGGCAGTAGGTGGCAGCAGGTTTGTATTACAATCTTAATGTGAAGTCCCAAATTGAGTCAAAAAAATAAATATATATATATATATTATATTGTCTTTTCCCATAAACTGATAGTACAGTATGAGCTACCGTCCCACTAATTGGCTTAGAATTTCAACAATTCAAGTAAAATTATCCTATGTCCTGATGTAGCACTGTAGGATAAGCACTGGATTACTAACTGAAAGGTAGGTGGGCCAAACCCACCAGCTGCTCCTTGAAACTCTACAGAGTCGCTATGAGTCAGAACTCATTTGACAACCCTTAACAACAACGAAAACACTGATAAAGAGGTATAAGGTGAGGCCTGAAAATGTTCATTCCTACCAAGATCCTAGGTACTGATGGTGCCCGTCAGGAGAATACGGAGTTTTGTTGTGCTGAGCGCCGCCGCGACCACTCGTCTCTCACTTTGTCATACGGTGGTGGCTTGTGAGTTGCTGTGATTCTGGAAGCTATGCCGCCAGTATTTTAAATACCAGCAGGGTCACCCATGCTGGACAGGTTTCAGATGAGCTTCCAGATGAAGACAAATTAGGAAGAAGGAGTGACAAACCACTTCCGCATATTTAGTCACTGAAAACCTTATGAACAGCAGAGAAACACTGTCAGATATAGTGCCAGAAAATGAGCCCCTCATGTTGGAAGGTACTCAAAATGCAACTGGGGAAGAGCTGCCTCCTCTGAGTAGAGTTGACCGTGATGATGTGAATGGAGTAAAACTCGTGGGAGAAAAGCCCACGGGACCTTCATTTGTTGATGGGGCACAACTCAAAATGAAGAGAAACAGCTGTAAACATCCATTGAAAATCGGAACATGGAATGTATGAAGTATAAATCTGGGAAAGCTGGAAGTTGTCAAAAATGAAATGGAACACATAGAGATCGATATCTTAGGCATTAGTGAGCTGAAATGGACTGGTATTGGCCATTTTGAATCTGATGACCACATGCTTTACTATGCCGGGAATGACAAATTGTAGAGATATGGTGTTGCATTCATTGTCAAAACGAACATATCCAGATCAGTCATGGGGTACAATGCTGTCTATGATAGGATAATATCCATGCACCTACAAGGAAGACCAGTTAATACCACTATTATTCAAATGTACGCACCAACCACTAAAGCCAGTGAGGATGAAATAGAAGAATTCTACCAACTTCTTCAATCTGAAATTGATCAAACATGCAATCAGGATGTATTGATCATTACTGGTGACTGGAATGCAAAGACTGAGAGCTAAGAGGAAGGAGCAGTAGTTGGAAAATATGACCTTGGTGATAGAAATGATGCTGGAAAACGCAAGATAGAATTCTGCAAAACCAATGATTTGTTCATTTCAAATACCTGCTTTAAACAGCATAAGAGATGACTATACACATGAACCTCACCAGATGGAATACATAGAAATCAAATTGACTACATCTGTGGAAAGAGTCAATGGAAAAGCTCACTATCATCAATGAAAACAGGGCCAGGGGCAGACTGTGGGACAGACCATCAATTACTCCTATGCAAATTCAAAATAAAGCTGAAAAAAAATGAAAACAAGTCCACGAGAGCTAAAATATGACCTTAATATATCCCACCTGAATTTAGAGATCATCTGAAGAACAGATTTGATACATTAAATGCTAAAGGCGGAAAACCAGAAGAGTTGTGGGATGACATCAAGAACCTTATACATGAAGAAAGCAAAAAGTCATTGAGAAGACAAGAAAGAAGGAAAAGGTCAAAATGAATGTCAGAAGAGACACTGAAACTTGCTCTCCAGTGTAGAGATGCTAAAGCAAATGGAAGACATGAGGAGGTCCAAGATCTGAACAGAAAATTTCAAAGATCAGCTCGGGAAGATAAAGCCAAATGTTACAACAAAATGTGCAAAGATCTGAAATCAGAAAACCAAAAATGAAGAACATGCTCAGCATTTCTCAAGCTGGGGGAACTGAAGAAAAAATTCAAGCCTCGACTTTCGTTATTGAAGTCTGGGCAAATTATTGAATGATGCAGAAAGCATCAAGAGAAGATGGAAGGAATATACAGAGTCACTGTACCAAAAGGAAATGGTTAATGTTCAACCATTTCAAGAGGTAGCATATAATCAAAAGGCAATGATATTGAAGGAGGAAGTCCAAGGTACATTGAAGGAATTGGCAAAGAACAAGGCACCAGGAATTGATGGAATAAAAATTGAAATCTTTCAAGAAAGTGATGCGGCACAGGAGGCATTCATTCATCTCTGCCAAGATATTTTGAAGACAACTATCTGGCTGACTGATTGCAAGAGATCCATATTTATGGCCATTCCAAAGAGAGGTGACCCAACAGAATGCGGAAATCATCGGACAATCTCTTTGATATCTCAAGCAAGTAAAGTTTTGCTAAAGGTAATAAAGAAACGGCTACAATCATACATTGACAGAGAACTTCCAGAGGTTCAAGCTGGATTC